TCCACAGGACCTCATATGGATCCCACTGTTGGGCAGGTCCCCTCTCTTTTCTCCTCCCTAGGCTACCTAACTCCCCATCTGCTTTCCTGGGACCTTGAGCAGAGCCTTCATGTAGGCTATACCCCTTTCTTCCTCCTATGCTTCCCGATTCCCCACCTTACTTTCCTGGGACTTCACACTGACTATGCTCAAAGGTGTGACCCTTTCCTTCCTCTTCTCTAGGTCACCCAGCACCATCCAGTCTTTTCTGGGACTCCATGCCAAAGCTGCCACTGGGTAGGGCCCTCTCCTTCCTCCTATCTAGGTCACCTAAAATCCTACCCATGTTTTTCAGGAACCTACACAGACCATGCCAACAAGTGGGCTCTTTTCTCCTAGGTTCTCCAAAATTCCAACTGTCTTCACCAAGACCTCAAGCCAATCTTCAGGCAACACTCATCTCATCCTCCCAAAGAGATCCAATCCAGATTCACCCTGGACTCTGCCCTCTCTCCTACTTGGTACCCTCTCCAGGCATATAGCCCAGCAAGAGAACCAATTCCTTCAGCACCACCCCGTGACCCTCCCAAGCTGTCCATAGCATTACACAATCTTAAGGCACTCTCCAGTTGCTCACATTCCCTGGTAAGAATTATGTGCTCCCCCCAACTCTGTCTTCTCAGAGCTCCCCTAAATCTTTCCAACCTACCACCTCACATGTGGACTCCAACCTGGTGGGATAAAATCTTCTATCAAAAGATATAACCAATAGCCTACCTACAATTGCTGAGGCCCCACTGCAAAAACATAAGCAATATGAAAACCAAGACAATATGTCTTCCCCAAAGATCCCAAATCTCATGTAATTGTCTCCAACAAGAACAACCGAGACAAAACTCAAGATACAGAATTCAAAGGAACAATTATAAACACGTTCAAAGACATCAAGGAATTCAATTATGACTACAATAAACACCTGAATGAAATTAAGGAGGATAGGAATAAACTGCTATGTAAAGTCCTAGAAAACACAGACAAATGGGCAGCTATCAGAAGCCATGGGCTATAAATAAAAACTCCAAGTGCCAGGGGTAGGGTACCTCCTTATGAATTATTGATCAGGGAGCTATCAGAGGCTCTCCAAACAATATAGGCTCTTGCCATTCCTCTTGGTTGCTGACTAGAACTAGATAATAAGACCCTATTGCTCAAGGTATCACATACCTTGGATGATATAGAGAATTGAAGCTGGAACTGAGCTGGAAGCTTTCTTCCTTCTGAATAGCTTTCATACTCCTGGAAGATGCTATGCAGTGTACTATGGAGAAAAGCTATCAATGGTCTTACTTATCTATGAATCCTATGACTTATGAGACCTAAGGAGGGCCCACTTGTGCAATAGTGGCATTACTGTTATGGGCAACCAATGGCTGATTGAATTTGAGACCTACTCTATGGGAGGGAATCCATGTCTGTCTGATACTGTAACCCTGACCAAAGTCCATAGCTAGGGGGTTTAGAGCCCTAGTGGGGAAACGAATACTGTTATTTAACAAACTGACATAGTATTGAGCTGCCTTATAAATATTTGCTTTTACCCATAGACATACACTACTCTCAGCCTTAATCAGAAAAACCTCTCTTTCCAATGAACTGTGTGAAAGCAGAGACCCATGGCTGCATGGAGTGCTAAGAATAAGTGAATTATGAGTGCTTAGCCCTAAATAAGACATTTATATCATCCCCTCTATAGCTCACGGAACATTGAAGAAGTGCTGGAAAGAATGTAAGAGTTGGATACAGAGAGAAGGGCTGTGTAATGCCATCTCCTGTGAAAGACACAGCTGTTGCAATCACAAAGTTAAGCCAATGGTGGATATCTGCACTACATAAGAATGGGCCTGTCAATTGTCAGATATGGAGAAAGGACTTAGGAGGACCTACTCCTCACTGTTGGATCATTTGCTACTGATAGGTTCAGGGAGAGGGGGAACCATTGCCTTCAGTTGTGTACCCACTAATGACCCCAACAGGCTCCAATGGATAGTGCTTATCCAGTGTTCACACAGTTGGCTCTGGTTAAACTAAAAAGGCCTCTCTCACACACACATACAAAGTCATGAATTTTGGAGAAGGCAGGTAGCAGTGAAGGGGTATGGCAGGGATTGTAGGGTGGTAAAAGAGTTTGTGGGAGAGAGATTATTCAGAATACATTGTATACATGTATGATATTGTCAAATAAAAAAAATTAATAAAAATTCCTTGGAATAAAACTAACTATGGAAGTAAAGACTTCTACAATGTGAAATTTAAAAACACAAGAAAAAATTGAAGAAGGCATTAAAAGATAGACTTCCCATGTTCATGGATTGACAGAATTAACATTGTAAAAATGCCCACAGTACTGAAAGGGGGCTACATATTCAGCATAATCCCAATTAAATTACAATTACAATCTTCACAAAACTAGAAAAAACTGAAAATTCATATGTAAGCAAAACAAAACAAAATACCAAGCACCCCAGGCAACCTTAGATAGAAAGAGCAACACTGGAGTAATCAAAATTCTTAATCTTAATTCTTACAGTATATTACACAGAGCCATAGTAACAAAAATAATATGATGTTGGCAAAATCCAAACATATAGACCAATGAACTAGAAAAACCATAAATAAACCTATTTAGCCATAGCCATCTAATTTTCAACAAAGGCATCAAAAGCACACATTTGAAAAATGACAGCCCCTTTAATAAAATGGTAATGGCACAACTGGATTTGGTTTTTGTTATGCGTGTATATGTGTGTGTGCATGTGCAAGTTTGTATGTGGGTGTGTGTTCATGTGTGTTTGGGTGTATACACACATACAAACATACATATCCATGAATGTGGAGGATGGAAGACAATCTTGGGTGTGATCCTAAGGAATGCCATTCACTTCCTTTGAGACAAGGTCTCTCAATGGTCCTGAATTTACCAATTAGACTAGACAGGCTTGCGAATGAGTCCCAGGGACTCTCCTGTCTCAACTCTTGAACCATGGTGTTACAGTTGTGTACCATCATATTTGGATTGGTTTTTGTTTTTTGGTGGGTTCTTGGGATCAAACTTAGATATTCATGTTGTAAGGCAAGCATATTACTGGTTGACTCCACTCTCTAGCCCCTCAAATTAAATTTATATGTGTTGAATTAAACTAGATCCATGACTCTCAACCTAAAGGGAAATTAATTCAAAAATGGAGCAAAAACTTTAATGTAAGCCCTGAAACTGAAATTTCTAGAGGAACACATAAGGAAAACACTTTAAGATATTGGCATTGGCAGAGACGTTCTTGAAAGTTCTTCTATATGAGAAATTAAAAACTAGATTATATGAAATTATAATGCTTCTACACAGGAAGGAAGCAATCACCCAAGTTAAGAGACAGCACATGGAATGGGGGAAAACCCTTTTTCTATAATAGAATTACATGGGTGATTGATATCTACAATATATACAAAATTGCAAAAATAAAATATAAACAAATCATCTAATCAATAAATGGAATAATGAACTAAATAGTTCTCAAGGGAGTAAATACAAATTGCCAAAACATATTTGGAAACATGTTCAACATCCTTAGTCATCAAGGAGATACAAACTGTTTTGAGTTCCACCTTACCACAATAAGAATGACTATTATCAAGAAAACAAATGACAAAAAAATGCTGGTGAGTATATGGAGAAAAACAAATCTTTATACACGTCTGGTGGGAGTGTAAACTGGTATAGTCACTACGGACTTTAAAAAAAACTGATAAAATAATTACCATATGACTCAGCTACAACACTCTGGTTATATACCCAAATGACTCTAAGTCCTAAACAAAGATACTTGCAAGGACTTGCAAATCCATGCTTATTGCCACACTGCTCACCATAACTAAGGTATGGAGCCAGTGTAGCTATCCATTAATAGATGAATAGATAAATAAAATGTCATACATATAAAATTGGAATTTTATTCATTCTTAAAGAAATTTGAAATCATGACATTTGGGAAAAAGAAGGTTACATCTGGAAATCATTATGTTAAAGCAATACCAGCCTTAGAAAGACAAATGTTATATTTTTTTCCTCAGATACAGATTCTATATTTAAGTGTGTGTATGTGTGTGTGTGTGTGTGTGTGTGTGTGAGAGAGAGAGAGAGAGAGAGAGAGAGAGAGAGAGAGAGTCTGTCTGAGTGCCTGTGTGTGTAGGTCATGAACTAGAAATGGATCATGACAGGAGAGGAAAAGATCATCAAGTGGGGAATCGAGAGTATAACAGAGTACATCTGACAGGAAAACAAAGGGTACAGTTGTTGCAATGGTGCTTTCTGCTCTTCTACATTGACTGTAAAAGTGGAGTTGAAATTGATGGACATTATCTTCCAGTTACACATTTTTATGTGCCTCATTGATGAAACAAAATTCCCCATATATATATATATGTATGTATATATATATGTATGTATATATATATATATTTGCTCCATTTTCTGAAACAGAATAAAAGGCCGAGACCTCCACTCTCCCTGTCCCTAAAACTCATGGTCTCCTGTACTGTCTGCTGGAGTAACCCCAAAATACTTTCATCACGTGTCATTTTTCTTAATCAATGGCCTTCAATCAATAGGCTAGCAGAAGGATGGCTGCTATACTGTATAAGTTTTTTTTTTTAACAATTGCTTTTGTTTACGGAAATGGCAAAAATATGAAATATTTGTGTTCAGAGTCCAAATGCTTCTGTCCAAACATCCATGCTGCCTTTAATATGGCTTAGAATTTTCTTATTGATATTCAAACCCTCTTGATTTAGTTTTCATCATTTAATAAAATTGCATTTCTATAACTTTAGCAAGACAATTTTCACATAAGGAAAACTTACCATCTAAAGCATAGAAATAACTGATTATCTAAAATATGTTCCTGCATTTTATTGTACTGTATACAATTTAGAAATAGTTGGTATTAATCTGTACATAGATAACTTACTTGGTTTGTGTCAGATCAACTACAATGAGATCTTTCTCTAGAAGTACAGCAACAGCATAGGGTTCTTGAAATTCTATAATTAAAAAGAAAAAATTGAAAAGTTTATAAACTACATATAAAAACTACCAAAACTCACTTCCTTTATTTCATATAGAAATAAGTTATGAAAAGACCAAATTATAAGCCAAAGTGACAAAGAATACTTTAATTAAATATGTATTAAATTTCACAAATTTAATGTTAGGCTCTCTACAGAGAATGGGAAAATTGAGCATATGCATAGTATAGAATTAAATACGTTTCAAAAATCATGGTGTGATGATAATAGTGGATTATTAGAAAACAGTGGGGGTGACACCTCAATCTTATCATTTAGTATACTTATCTATAGCCTTAGTGTTTTAGATCTGATTCATACCTATTAGGAAATACACTAAGAATGTACTAACTCTGCTTCTCTGAGATATGATACATAATCACTTTCCTATGATAGTAATACCACTTATAGTAAAAAGTGTACTTTCAATTCAATATGGTTTAGCATACACTTATAGATCGCTTCTTGTGTATAGGAGTACCTGCCTTCAAAAAATAAACACTGTGAGGATATTCGATGAGCTCTAGGTTTCTAAAAATCTAACCTGTCTTTTCTTGTTCTTTCCTTCCCTCTTACTCTTCCCTCACTATATTCCAGAAACTGTATTAGAAACAAAGGATATATTGGGAATAAGAGTGACAGAAAGTCTTTCTCATGGAGTTTATATTCTAGGGATAGTTAGAAGCTGTGAATGAGTTAAGAAATAATTTAAAGAGTAATGTGAGCTATAACAAAAGTAACAAGGGTAATGTTATAAATATAATTTGTATTTAGAGAAAAGACAGTAATTTAGTTAAGATCCAAAGAAAGCATTGCTTTGTGTTTACAATAAAGGACTTATTGGTGAAAGCTATAGTGAAAAGAGTTGTTGTCAGTTTAAGTAAAATGTGTGTAAGAAAACATTTTGTATATATGATATTTAATTTCCAGTAGCTAGAGAAGGTATTATTTTCCATTTTATTGAGAAAACAAGTCCTAAGAGGTTAACAGACTGCCATAAGTTTATCAACCAGTAATTAAGCTGAAGTTTTAACCTAGGACATTAGATTTCAACTTTTATCTTGTTTTCAGTATGCCCACAGTTTCTCCTGGTTTGTTTGAAAGTATTTAATCCTTAAACTGAACAATCAGTTGGCAGTTTCTTACAGATTCAAGTCTTGGATAGCAATTCTTTGAAAAGTTTTATTTACGAATTCCCAACAATAACAACTCTTTTAAAAAGCACCCAAGCATAGAACACAGAATTGCAGTAAACATGAACAACAACAAAAATCACTTTTCCAGGTAGGTCAAAGAGAAACATTCATTCAGTGTCTGATGGCAAATTTAAATACTGGAATAGAGGGACTTCAGAGTTCTTCTAGACCTAAGAAGCTATAGCACCTACTCAGATTTACAACCTATTGTCATATGAGAGATAAAAACAAACACAAATGAAATGAGAGAGTTAGAAACTATTGGTGTTTGAATAATTATTTGTATGACAATATGTAGCCTGCTACAGTTTGATTTCCAAACTGTTCTCACATTGAGACTTTCCTGCTTTCTCATATCTCTAGCGTTGTTTAAGTTTTTCAACATTGCTTTAATATGTTTTGGCTTTTAGTCTGAAGAACATCATGGTTTCACATGAGCACTTATTTTCTCTTTGTCGTCTCTCCTTAGGAATATCATTGGTGATTTTTGTCACAAGTACTATAAATAGCTGATACACTAGCATGTGTAAAGTCATAAATTTTAAAAATTTAAATATTTTAGTTATTATTTTTATCTTATGTATATGAATGCTTTGCCTGCATGTATGTAAGTGTACCCATGTCGTGCAGTGCCCACAGAGGACAGAAGAGGCCATCGGATCCCCTAGAACTGGAGTTATGAGCTATTGTTAGCTACCATGTGGGTGCTGGGAACTGAACTTGGATCCTCTGCAAGAACAGCCAGTACTCTTAACCACTGAGCCATTTCTCCAGACCCGATAAATTAAAATTTTAGGTAGCTACATATATCATGAGTTATTCTTCCTGTACAGTAACAAAAAAAATTGGCAACAAACATTTTGTTTTTATACAAGTACTTTATGTATTGTAATAAATAGCAAAGAATTCCTTAGGTTCAATTCTTTGCCTATTCTTTACTATAAGTTTGGTCTTGGGCAAATTAGTTAACTTCTTTGACTTACAATTCTTTTATCAACTTAAATGGCACAATTATAACTACCTTAAACTATTATGTAAGTTAGGTGAAGCAACATCTATAAAGATGTTTATATGTAAGATATAACAAGTGTATTACTTTATTCAATTGGTATATTTTGTCTTTAACCCTACCCCATGCCATCAAATGGTGAAAAGCTCTATTTTAATTGTTGTTTCTCTGAAGAGAAATGCATATTGGGACACATAGAAAGAACTGGCCAACTAAATCTAGATGTGAAGCAGCAAGTTCTGATAATAGTTACTACTCTAGGCAATGATTGCATTAACAATATTAAAGCATCTGAGGTTTGTGAGAATGAATTGAATTGTCGGGTGTAATAAAAAATCAGTATTAAAATTATTAATAGCTTTGTTTTAAATGACACATCACTATGCAGCTGCAAAGAAGACTGAAATTCTCTATTAGCTAACATGAAATAATTAAAATATATTAAGTAAAAAAGATGACATAGGACAGCACATAAAGTATGCTGTCATTTGTAGATAAAAGAAGATAATATGTACTTAAACAATATGAGTATTTAGAAAGAATAGTAAGAAGGCAAGCAACATTGGTTGTCTCTGCAAAGGCAGTGAAAAACTTTTCATTATACACTACTGTGCAATGAAGAGTTTCTTTCTGGTACTTTGATGTACTAAATGTTTTAATGGTTAAAACACATGACGGTAGTTAATAAAACTCATTTATACTTCCATAAATATAGTCAAACTACTTCTCCTAGGCCCTGACAAAAATGTTCAATCCTTCTTATCAGTTTTTTGAAAGACTGGCTTATTAATTTATTTTTAGAGGTGAATAGGCACGATTTATGAGACTTATAATTTATTAAAACTCATTATAAATTATCCTTGCATTTCTACTGATGTTAATAAGACTATGTACGTAGAGTTAGAATAGTCTTTGAAACACAAATTCTCAGCTTCTATTATTTCGGACATATTTTCTTCCTCAATGCTCTTGATAGGAGGGATTTTTCTAACTTTAGCTTTGGTCTTCTCATCCCTTCCTTCCTTCCTTCCTTCCTTCCTTCCTTCCTTCCTTCCTTCCTTCCTTCCTTCCTTCCTTCCTTCCTTCCTTCCTTCCTTCCTTCCTTCCTTCCTTCCTTCCTTCCTTCCTTCCTTCCTTCCTTCCTTCCTTCCTTCCTTCCTTCCTTCCTTCCTTCCTTCCTTCCTTCCTTCCTTCCTTCCTTCCTTCCTTCCTTCCTTCCTTCCTTCCTTCCTTCCTTCCTTCCTTCCTTCCTTCCTTCCTTCCTTCCTTCCTTCCTTCCTTCCTTCCTTCCTTCCTTCCTTCCTTCCTTCCTTCCTTCCTTCCTTCCATTTTCCCCACATTCAGGTGGCTCTAGCCTTTGTTCTTATATTCCTTCATCATTTAGCCTCATAACTCCAAAGAACCTTTATACTGTGATGAATCATGAATAAACACTGTAAAAAATTTCTCTTTTTTTGTTCTCTATTGACTCTACCCAATCTTGCTATTCTCTCTTTTCAAAAATTGTTACTGTGCATGAAAAAACCTACTGTTTTGTTGTTGTTGTTGTTGTTGTTGTTGTTGTTTTGAGACAAGGTATTAATGTAGCCCAAATTGGACCAAAGCTCACTACATAGCTTAAACTGGCCTTTAACTCATGGTTATTCTCTTGCCTCAGCCTCCCAAGTGTTGAGATTATATGAAAGCGATATCATGCATTGTTGTTTTAAATAGATATTATTTACAAATAATAGAGTTTGAAATTTGAGAGTGCCTTTTGAAACCTAGACACTCCTAGACAAACCTTACTAAAATTAGTGCTTTCTTTCACCTTAGCATTTCCTTAAAATGAGTCTGTAGGCCTATATTTCCAAACATCTCCAAAAAGCTCATAAATTTTCTCCTAAATTGATCTTACCAAACCCTACAATTTCTAACATCTTCTTAATACCCCCAATAAAGTCTTCCCAAAACCCATTTCTCTGTGAAGCTTTGTGTGAATATTTCAGTCATTGGCTATTTAGTTACTAGATAGCACAATATTTATACTGTGAATCATGTAACTCAGCATTTAAGTTCATGTATCATTTTTATTCAACAATTCATAGTTACTTCACTGTTTTGATCAGATCTTATGCAATCTAGTAGAGATTAGTTTCAAACTTCATCTGTAAGCTCAACACATCTTTGCAGTATTTTGGCCATAGGAACATTCAATAAATATTTGTTGATTACCAATGCAGGAAATTTGTCTCTAGTAACTCTGGAAACAAAGTGCTACATTGTTATTTATTATAGGTTTTAAATATGAAAGTAAATAATTTAAAAGAAATTATATTTAATATTAAAACTAATATATTTATTTCCATAGTTAACAAAATCTGTTCACTTGACTTTCTACTAATGTTGGGGCAAAGTTATTGTTCCCTTTCTATAAATGATAACTAAAACTAATAAATAAAACCTAGTTAATAAGTGGCAGAGTGAAATCATGAATCCAAATATTCCGTTTCCAGATCCAGTGATCTTTCTCCGACATCCACATGCTCCCTCTTGGAAATGCAGTGATGAGTACTCATACTGTTTGGATCACAATTCATATTTCTGGTTTCTGTTTTACTCCTTTTTCATTTCCTAGATTTCTTTAAAACTTTTTACCACCGTTAAATTTTATTATAGTTATATGAGTTTAAACTAATTTTTATGTTTACAAAAAAGTTTTGATCTACATTCAGAATGATAAAAATACATGCATCTCTCTTTCTGAGTGCCTTCTATTTTCCAAGCTGAAATAAATCACTACCATACATCAGCAATCCTAGAGTAATCAGATGTGCTGCAGTTGCATCTGAAGCAAAGGCAGATGTGAAATAGATGCAGCACCACCAGAGTTACAGATCACTGATATCAGGTAAGTGCTTTAACTTTGATTGGCATTGCGATGGAATGGGTGGAGCTGGTCTAGGAGAGACTATTAGGAGACCTCAGTTTCCCCCAAGTGATTTCACCCTGGACCCCTATCGGACCCTCCCAGCTCAGCTTCCACCATCCTTATCAAAGTTTAAAGCACTTACCTGATATTAGAACCTGAAACGCCAGTACTGCTGCACTACATCTGTCTTACTTCCAGTTTGCCAAGTAGGTACAATTGCAGAACCTGCTCCAGCACCTGTAGCTCACAGTGTTGTACCACAGTGGATGTCTGCTGCTAAAACTGAAAATATTTAGCCTTAATTTCATTAGGAACTGGTCATTTCAAAAACGATTTTTTTCAACATTAATAGTCTCATTTTAGTCACTTACCATTTGGATAGGGTGTTTCACATAAAGTTAGAAATTCAACAATAGGATGATCCATTTCAAGTACTGTAATTGCTTTTCCATGCATGATGGTTAAACTTGGTCTTCTGCAAGCTTTGTCATAGGAGAGCCCACCAGAGAATATTATGAATGGTTCACTACATAGGGAAAAAAGTGTAATGAGACTACATCCTTGAAGAAGACACAAAGTCAAAGATAAGCCTTTAAAGAATATGTTCAAAAGAGATTATCTACCATGCGAATGGCTTTTCTGACCACCATTTTTCACCCAGCAATCTACTATTTATAATTTTCCATTTTCTAAACCTACATTCTAGGTATTAGAATAACTAATGGATAAGTGTAGGTCTTTAGGGGGATGGTGGGGAAAGATAATGAAGTTGGAGGACACTGGAGGTACTCACTGACTCTCAAAAGGACATTTTTGCATAAATTAACTACCAAATTCTATATCATTATCATCAGAATATTAGTTTATGTTAGAATATTCAGCTATTTGACATGTGAGACCCAAAACCTTAAGAGAAAAACAGAGGCAAATTTTAATATGAAATGAAATGTCACAGTGGAAAACTCAGAATGACAGAAGAGAACATGAAAATTCTAAATAATGAAGTTTCTGTGGGAAAAGGCTTATAAGATAGAGAAAAGTAATATGCAGATGAACAATAATTCATCAAATATATGATCTCCTACTCAATTAATGCATGCCCAGTCAGCTCTATCTGGCTCAAGTAATTTCATACAAATGTTTAGTCTATTACTTTCCAAGATACAATTAAGTAGTAAAGTAAGTGTCACTCATTTCTCAACCTGATTGTGTTGAGGCTGTTTGATTGAATTAAGAAGTCCACATTTCTGGGTGTCTATTAGGGCATTTCCAGAGATAACTGGCATGCAGAATAACAACTAAAGACAGTGAGGGAAGCTCTACACTGAAAGTAGGCAGTACTGTCCATCAGGCTGGGGGTCCAGGAAGGAAGAAAAGGAGGAGGAGGAAGAAGCATAGGCTTCCTTACTCCCTTTGCTTCTTGGTTGACATAATGTGATCTGCTTTCCTCTGCCATGCCTTTCTGCCATGATGATTTTACTTTGCCTTGCCACAAGACTGAAAACAATGGAGTCTGCCAACGATATTTGAATCTTCTGAAGCCTAAATCCAAATAATCTTCTTACTTTAGGATATTTATTACAGTATTTTGTTATGATGACAGAAAGTGCTAATTCACCAAGGTTCCTTTCAATTATACAAATATTATAGTTACATAAAAATAATGAAATTTTTCATTTTTTACTCTGAAATCTCTATTATCTATTTATCATCTATCTATCTATCTATCTATCTATCTATCATCTATCTATCTATCTGTCTATTTATCTATTCATTTATCTTCTACTAAAGAAAAATGTTGATAAAGACGTATTTGCAAGTACATACCAAATTGAAAATATCCTCTTCTAACAAATTTTATTTTTTTATCAAAGTGTCTTGAAAATCTGCTTCTCTAATTCAGTTTCACTCTATCAGGTAAACTATAATCTATCTGTCTCTAAAAATTACTTTTTAGCCAGGTGTGGTGGTGCACGCCTTTAATCCCAGCACTCCGGAGGCAGAGGCAGGCGGATCTCTGTGAGTTCAAGGCTAGCCTGGTCTACAAAGTGAGTTTCAGGCCAGCTGGGGCTACAGAGAAACCCAGTCTCAAAAAGACCAAAAAAATTTTTACTTTTTAAGGTTTTATTTTTTCCATTTTGTATTGGGACAAACATTTGCTAATTCTATGCTGCCTGTAAAACAACAACAACAATAGAATTTGTAGTTTACATTTATATGTAAAATACTTCTTCTAATTGTCTTTAGAATTCTGTCTTAATAGTTTCTCATAAGTATTTGAATTTTAAGCAAAGAAGTATAAAGTTCTTATGCTCCCTGAGTTTTTCATTGAGGATGATTTGAGTCAATGGACTTGAAGTAAGTGTGATGACAGTAATTATGT